TTCACCTTCCCACTAGAGGTCATTGCCTTGTATGCTCATACCTCAGCTCGGCCTTGGGTAGAACATAAACTATTACAGTAGCTGTTACAATGTAACACATTGACAGAACATCGACTGACCTTGTATGTGTTCCTCTCCGCCGTAGCTGTGATTGCCGGTGCTGTTCTTCTCTCCCGCTGCAAGAAGAAGAAAAGGATGAATGAGGGTGTCTATCACGTGTCCGCTTATCACGATGAACCGGAGGACACCAGGCAGAACATCTTCCATTACAACGAAGAGGGGGGCGGCGAGGAGGATCAGGTGAGGTAATTGGTGTTTTCAAGTGACAAAGCCCACAAAAGGTCCACCTCAGTGTGTATGGGACAGGTACACTTTAAGGAAGGATTCTGCTCGGAAGAATTTCTCATAGTAAGATAGAAAGGGGCAGAAAGAGAGGGAGGGGGCTAAAAAAAAAAATTCTGAATTTGTTGCAGGATTTCCTACCCGGAGACCCTTCCAGGGACAGAACTTCATATTACAGGCTGACCACGCTAATCCGTTGCCTTGCAATTACCATCAGCATTGCCAGCCTGTCGTGCGCACTTCAGATGGTCGTTGTCCTGCATATCATGTTAGGAGGCATGAGCAGTCCTGATAGGCAGTCTAACGGCCGGCTGACGGCGTGCACACGGCAGGCGCCACATTCCTTCTTCTGTTCTCTATTCTTATATCTCAGTACACAGATACATTGTTACTTTTAAATGTTGTGAGCACAGCAGACTTCTCTTTATGTTCTTATATCTCATCTTACAGTCCATACGATACGATATGATAGTGATATATATATATAGTAATTAATGTCAGGGGTTCCTTCAGACCTGAAAGTTATTTTGATGGAAAGGCTCAGAGAGGCCGAGTTGTCATAACGCATGTTCTAGGCCCGCGACGGGTTAAAACGTAACGTACAATCTTTTCCACTCGAAATAAAAGTATGTGACTTGCCGATCAGGTCTAATTACTGTGATTATTCACCGCAGGACGCATTCGACATGACAGACCTCCATCTGTCTCTGCGGAACAGCCCGGCGCCATCTCTCGGCAGGAGGGCGAAGGATCGCCGCGTCAACAGCCCCCTGAGCTGCGATTACGATCCGACTGACAGCCAGAAGGCTCCGTCAAAAGCGCCGGCGCCAAGGCTGAGCTGCTCTTTTACCAGCGGAGATTTCGGGCAGTATTTCTACGACGTCTGCCAGGACGCCGTCTACATGCACTCGTCCTGCGACAGCCTGAAGGTGTACGACACGGAGGGAGTCGGCTCGTCGGCCGGCAGCCTAAGCACGCTGGCCTCCTCCGGGATGGACTCGGACTTGGAGTACGAGGACGTGAAAGCGTGGGGGCCCAAATTTTACTATCTCAGTAAACTCTATTCGTACACGGAGGACGACGATTCGCAGTGAAAGAAGGCCGCGGGCCGACACGTCACATCCATGCAATGCTTGTCTGCACAAATTTAGAGAGGACATCACCGCCGGCACTCGTGATCAATTGCTAAAAGAACAAAAAGAAAAAAAACTATTGAAATAGCACAAAGTTCAGTGCTGACGAGATCAAACTTTTTTTTTTTTTAGAAAAAACAAAGCCGCAGCATTGCTCGCCTGACCACAGAGCTGACGCTCGGGGAAAGGGCAGGCAAGGTGTTTTACTATCAATGCAAGGCTTACAAGAGCTGCGGGAACCTTCAGGAACTTTGTAAGTTGTGACAACCCTTTCGGTGACCCCCACCCCCCTTAAGACACTTTTTTAGTAGTAGTCGTTTTATGTGTGGCTCCTTTTAAATAAGTGGGATAGGTGGATGGCTAATAATGTGATATGGTAGTGTATACTTATTTTTAATGTGTTCAAGGATGTGGTTACCTTCTTTGGGGACTGAGTGGTTGCCATCAACTAAGGGCTCATTTTTACACAGGGGCATGCCGT